GGTAAACAGGAGGTTTACCGGGGGTGGAGCCCCCGGTGTGGTGGAGTAACAATTGGCCCGGCCTGCTTTTCCCTGTCTCCCTACGCTGGCCAGGGGCTCCCCACACCACCAGCCCCACCATAGAACTGCGGAGGGAGTGGGATGGGAGGCCAGCCCGCAGGCCCTGGAAGGCCCCGCGTGGGGTCAAGAAAGTGGCAAGGCTCAGTGAGGAGCCGAGCCAGGTGAGGGAGGCATACCTGGCCGAACCGGCCGGCTCCGCCCCCACCCGAGAAAATGGCGGCAGCCCTGGGGCAGGTGGCTGGCCTGGTGTGGCAGGCGGAAGCTGGACGGGCTTCTGCCTTGCAAGCAAGGCCTGGCTGTGGGTCACTCACAGAGCTGGACAGTCCGGGCGGCTCTCTCTCCATTTCCGTGTTGGCGTGGACCCCGTCTTTGGTCTCTGGTCTCTGCCGCCTGGGGCTGCTCTCTCGGTCCCGCGGCGCGGCTCGGGTGCTCTCAGGAATCTTCTTTTGTGTCAGCCCTAAACTTCGAGTCTGTAGTTGCTTTTTTTTAATAGTTGTAGATTAGTTGTTCAAAGACTTATTCATTTTTTGTTGCTCTTGGAAAAGCAAATAGCACTCTGGCAGCTCAGCGCACACTTCTCAGGCTCACGCTGTCTGTCTTCTGGCGCCCCCTCTCCAGCTGCTTCGTAGAATAGGTATTATTTCTTCCTTAAATGCCTGTCAGAATTCCCCATTGCAGCCATCTGGGCCTGAAGGTTTTGTTTCATTTTGTAGGGAATGTTTTTAACTACAAATTCAAATTTAATTTGTTTAATAGATGTAGGACCATCAGGTAATATATTTCTTTTTGAGTGAGTTTTGGTGGTTTATGTCTTTCAAGGAACTTGTCCATTTGATCTGTTTTTTTAAATTTATTGGTATAAAGTTGTTCATAATATGCTTCTACTATCTGCTTAGGATCTATGGAATATGTTGTGACATTACCTCTTTCTTTCTAATATTGGTAATTTGTGTCTCCTGTTTTTTTCTTGATCAATTTGGCTTTAGATTTATTGATTTTATAAGATTTTTTAAAGAATCTTTTTTCATTTCATTGGTTTTCTCTATTGTTGTCTTATTTTCCATTTCTTAACTTTTACTACAGTCTTTATTTTTTCCTTTTTTCTGCTTATTTTGGGCTTAATATGTTCCTTTTTTTTCTATTTCTTAAAGTGGAAGCTGACATCATCAGTTTGGTACCTTTTTTTCTGATGTAATATTATCATCTTAATGCTATAAAGTTTCCTTTAGGTACTGTTTTAGCTGCATCCTAAAAGTTTTGGTATGGAATGTCATTTTCCTCTTTCAGTTCAAAATATTTTCCAATTCCACTTTTGATATCATCTTTGATTTATGTGTTATTTAGTTTCCAATATTTGGGGGTTTTCTAGATACCTTTCTGTTACTGATTTCTAATTTAATTCCACTAGTGTCAGAGATGACATTTTGTATAATTTTAATCCTTTTAGATTTATTGAGACTTTTTTTTTTTGACCCACAGTATGGTATACTTTGGTAATTGTCTTGTGTTCACTTGCAAAGAATGTTTATTCTGCTGTTATCAGGTATAGTGTTCTATTAATTTCAGTTGGGTCAAGTTGGTTGATAGTCTTATTCAAGCTTTTACTAATTTTCTGCTTATTTATTCTATCAATTATTGAGAGAGGGATGTTTAAATCTTTAAATACAGGTGGATAGGTCTATTTCTTTTTGCAGTTGTATCAGTTTTTGGTTAATGTATTTGAAGTTCTGTTGTAAGATGCGAAACATGTTTAGGATTGTTATAGCCTCTTGATAAACTGGCCCCATTATCATTATGAAATAACTCTATCTCATGTAATATTCTTTGTTCTAAAATCTAGTTTGTCCAATGTTAATATAGTCATTCAGCTTTCTTTTCATTAGTGTTAGTATGGTTTTTCTATCCTTTTACATTTTATCTGTTTATGTCTCTGTATTTAAGATCTGTTTCATGTAGTGAGCATATAGTCAGGTCTTGCATTGTAAATCTAACCTGACAATCTTTCTTTTTTAAGTTGTGTGGTTAGACCATTTATACTAAAGTAATTATTGATGTGTTTTGTGTTTAAATCTACCATCTTACTTTTAGCTTTCTGTTTTTCTCTTCTATTCTTTGTTCTCCTTTTTTTCTTCCTTAGGGATTATTTTTTATGATTCCATAGGTAGTTTTAAGTAGGTACATTGTATTTGTTTTAATACTTCTGTTTCATCTGTGGTTTATTTGTTCATTAAAAACAATCCTTTAATTATTTTTATTTGTATAATTTAGCACAAATTAATTATTAATGAATTAATTATTAATTATTACTTATTGAGCATTTAGAGGACAGCTTACTGGAATAGACGAGTCTTGATCTAGGCTTTGGAGGAACAGTAAGATATGATTGGTTAGAGAATCTATTATAGGTTAGTAGAAGAATGTGATTAAAAGCACAAAAATGGAAATGAATAGGGCAGGAACTGGACAAGCTCAATAGAGTGCAAACATTCTAAGAATATAGTAGGAAATTGAAAATGCTTCAAGGATTGGTATTTTAAAAAATGTTAAAAGCTTAATAATCTTGATAAATTATAAAACATAAGCATATTTTATCACTTTCCTGGTTAAACTGTCAGTTTTTTATTCTCAGGAGGTAAGGTACCATTAAATAAAATGAACCATTGGGTTGAAATAAAGTTAAAACCTTAAAATTGACTAATTATATTTGGACATCTCTCTTAAGGTCTTCTTAATTACCAAATAAATTGTTTATTTCTTTCACAACTAACATGACCTCTCTACTTCTTTTTGGCATAATTTCCTCTTTTAAATTGTGTAAGGCTTTCTGTTACTTTTGTTTCAATCCTGGAAAACTTCTCAATGTCCTTCATATAACCCTTTCCTTCTGTTGGACCCATAAATTTGTTGATCATCCACAGTTCTATCTTGTCCTACGTTACTCTCATTTTTGTTTTTTCCACTAGATACTTTCATATAGGTTCTCTGAGATTGACTTTGAGGAGTGGGAGGTTTTCAGAGTTTGAGTTGCATTATACATTGAGCTATCCATCCACCTCAGTTTTGATTTTTTATTAGGGACTGATAGATTTTAAACTATTATCAACCTTGAGAGAAGGTTTAACCTTGCCCCATATATAGATTTTCCACTGAGGTATTTGAGTCCGCTGAGGCCTTCCTGTTATAGATTCTGATATCAGATACTTTCATGGTTTTACCTTTTTTTTTTTCCTTTTTGTCTTTTTTACTGACCGGCAATGGGATCACAACCCTTGGTGTTGCGCCCGCACCATGCTCAGCCAGTGAGCGGGAACCGGTCTCCACATGGGATCCGAACCCTCGGCGGGAGCGCCGCCGCCACTCTCCAGTGCACCACTGGGCCAGCCCATGGTTTTACCTTTTATTTAATAATTTGTTTTAACAATTTGTTGAACTATGTTCAAGAAACATATTCACACTAGTATTGTGTTCTAGTACCATTCCTAAGAGCTTTATAGGTATTCATTTGATCCTCATAACAACACTTTACACTACTACTGCTATTACCATTGTACAGATGAGGAACTGAAATTCAGAGAGGTTAAATACTTATTTAGGGCTACCCCCAGCTAGTAATAGAGCCAGGGTTTGAACTCAGGTGGTCTAACTTGAGAGTCATGCTTCTAATTACTATATATGTTCATAGCCTTCTGGAAATTCTTATTTCTACATAAGTATGTCAAATAGTTAACATTCAATGTCTCCAAACCAGGAGTCATTATTTCCTCTCCATCCTGCACTGTCCTCCCCCCAGGAAATTTGCTCCTTTTTGTCCATTTCACATCTTAGTTAATGTTTCACTTTCCTTTCAGTCATCTAAGCTTGAGGTCTGAGTCATTCTAGACTTCCATTTTCCTACCTTCCTTCAATTGATCCCTATGTCTTTTTAATTTTACTTTTAATTAACTCCAATTAAGTGCATTCCACTCATTTTTATTGTCCCACCTTAGTTTAAGTTTGTCATGATCTCTCGTTTGGAATAGCTATTTATTCTCCTCTTAGAGATCTCTGAGTGCTCTCTGTTACCTCTATTTTCTTAGTAATTTGTGATTATTTATGTGCCTATCTTCTCCATTAGTGTGGACCCATATGGGACATGCGGTTGGTGTATACTTACTATTTTGTATAATATATGAATTAGTCATTAGAGATTATCATTGATATTTTCAATATCATCATAAGCGTCATATGAAGTCTTTTTTTGTTCTGCTTTTGGAAGTGTCTTTCAATGCCTTATTTTTCTAAAAGCTAAAAATAGTTTCTTTAATTGCAGTGATCAAGGATAAAATGGACTCTTTTATATAGTTACATGTTATCTCAGAATAAATTACATAGTAAAATCAATGATAACTGCAAAATTGTTAGGATCTTATGGTTTACAACAGTCCAAATGTTCAATTTTATTTTCATGTATGAAATATTGATTACATTTTCTTGGTAGCAATAATACAGCAAGAAGAGTTTATATTCTTTTTATAATGCAAAAATATAACTTATATAAATCTCTGCCATTTCAGAATGAGTATATTAAAAGGGAGGAGGAAGAAGCCATAAATCTTTATTCTTTGGTGTAGAATACAATAGCTAAATGCTAGTTACTTCCAATATTTAAGAAATGATAGAAAGTAATAGGGAATTTTTGGATCCAAACTTTAATGCATGGCTGCAGACACATATTTTCTAATAATTTCTGATGATAGCCACCTTCCCTATTAATTTCCCTGCATCAGTTAAAGTAAAGTTGTTGTTCTTGGGGGAATGCATGAAAGATGACAGTCATTTTCTACATGAGTAAAATTTTCATATGCAACATGCTGCTGGCTGTGGGACTATTAGACTTCTTTTTGTTTTTCAAAGCACAATTCTGCTTAACTGTTAACTCTGTGCTTATGCTTTATTTGCAGCATCTGGCGAGGCCCCAATGTGAACTGCACAGACAGTTCGGGTTACACTGCTTTACACCATGCAGCCTTAAATGGACATAAGTAAGTGCCACTAATTTGGACTGGAATCCTTGTGTATTTAGTTACATGTGATGAAGTTAATTACGTCTGATGATACCTTTCTCACGTTGCCATGAGTCCACTGGGCTCAGATGAATTAGGAGAGGCGTCAGGCAACAACACTGACAAGTAAAAATTGGTAGGAATGTTGCTGAGGGTGATTGTGTACAATGTGTAAACTGAGAGAAATGCTCTGAAATAGCCAAATATCATACAGGGAGAATGGAAGAAGTGACAGGACCATGTTAGTCATGTGTGGCTTTGGGGACAGGATGGAATAAAACCACTTGACAACACATCTCCTACCTTTTTTGGTGTCTCTCTATTTTTAGCCAACATGGGGATATTCACTAGGAGTGAAATCTTTATCAATTCCTGCCATTATAAGCCATCAGTGCTTATATGAACCACTTCAGAATCTGTCAAATGTAGCAAAAATGCTTTGTCTTTGTCATTCCTAATTGTCTTTCTGGTTTTAAATTTCTTAACTCTAAAGGTTTTTTTAACTTAAGGAATTATGTTTCAAATAATGTGGTAGTACAGTTGGCCCTGCAGTTATGGAGGGCTGACTGGGAGACTTGGAGCATCCTTGGGTTTTTATGTCTGCAAGGGGCCCTGAAACCGATTCCCTGCGTATATGGAGGAACGACCGTAAGCATTATGGAGAATGAAAGAATGTGTAATCACAGTCACCACTTTATTTCCAGTATTTTAGTTAGGTAACTTAATGGTGTAGTGACAGAATCAAGAATGATGAGTCCTCTGAATGAGTCAGATGTTCTGTCCTTCCCCACTAGAAGAAAAGAAAGAATGTGTAATCACAGTCACCACTTTATTTCCAGTATTTTAGTTAGGTAACTTAATGGTATAGTGACAGAATCAAGAATGATGAGTCCTCTGAATGAGTCAGATGTTCTGTCCTTCCCCACTAGAAGAAAAGTGACCCTCTTCATGTATCTTCCCATCCTCTCTGCTTTTCCTTTGAGTGAATGATCCAAGTTAGTCTTTCCAGATCTGGATCATTTCCTTTCACCTTAATCTTTTAGATGTGGTAGTTATTGCTTTAGAAATACTAGTTACGTTTTGCTTTCCCATCTAACATTTCATTTATTCTGTGAATTGAGATTTAAGGAACTTAGTCATAATATCCCAAAGTAGATTAGCATTCACATTCCTCCTAATTTTCAGTGAAGTATTCAATGAACATTATTGATTTATACATGACAGCCTGTGAAGTTCTAACCATTGAGACATGTTTTCCTGTGGCCCGTTGCATAATTTTTGGTTCCTATTGGCAATTTAGGAAGTGAAGATAATTTAAGCACATTGGAGAGCAGTCATTAAGATTATCATAAAGAGACATGGGATTTGACTAGATATCTTTTAAGATACATATTATTGCAGATATTCTGTGAGAATTACATATCTGTTTTCATCTGAAGGTCTCATTTATACTATTTTAACACTTCCTAGTTAGATTTTACTCAGTGTCATCATATGGACATTGGAAAAAAGCAGGAAAATTCTAGTCCTATCTCCCCATCTCTGCTAGTTGTGTGACCTTGAGCCATTTACTTAACACCTCTAGGCCTCGGTTCAATGTACTGAATACACTGGCTGGATATACTTCATTGTTCCTTCCAATTATAACATTTTATGATATACCATATTAGTATTATTTGTGACTCAGTTGTGTACCATGATGCTACAATTCTGAGATTTGGATTTTCATATATAGTATATATTTCTTGATTTTGTATATTTAAATAATCTGTGGACTTTTACAACTAGAGGTCATTTATTCTATCCAGCCCCCCTCATCTCCTTCATTTTAGAGATGAAGAAACAAGGCTGTTCTAGATAAGCAACTTAGTGGTCACTTAGATATTAGGGTGGGGTTGTGTCTATAGCCTAGGTATTCCAGTTCCAAGTCTATGCTTTTACCAATACTCTGTGTTCTCTCTGCTTTGTAGCTAAACTCTTTCTGGCTTTTCTCTCTCATGTGATATATTTTTGGGTTTACTCCCATTATTATCAAGCAGTATGTTCACATGGAATGCTAATTTTAATATTGGCGTAAGATATTTGAGGAGAAAAAAATGTTACAAAATATATCTCAGAGCTGGAGAAGAATGGTATTTTTTTTCTTTGCTTTTGCTGTTCTCACTTAGCATAGGTAATTAACAATTGATTATGTTGTATTCTTCCCAAGCAAGCCTTAATAGTCGCATAGAAATACATCTTTGGTATGTATGCTGTTGTTTCCATCTGCTCTACATTGTTTCCATAAACATTATAATTTCTAGTCTAAAGTTCATGGAATCATAGAGTTTGAAGTAATGTTCAGCATCCTATAGTTCATTCTTTGGCTTTGAGCACAGGCTTTTTCTCTACTGCCAATATGTAATCTAAGGCCTTCATACTGCAAATTAAACCCACCCATTTCCTCTTATTTTGTAGGTTTTATTGGGAGCGCTTGTTTATCATTGTATATTAGTCAGGGTTCTCCAGAGAGACAGAACCAACAGGATTTGTATGTAGAAATAATGAGAGTGGATTTATTAGGGGAATTGGCTCATGCTGTTATGAAGGCTGACAAGTCCTATGATAGGCCGTCTGCAAACTGGATGCTGGTAGTGTGTCTCAGTCCAAGTCCAAAAGCCTCAGAACCGGGGAAGCTGAGAGTGTAATTCTCAGTCCGAGGCTAAGGCTTGAGAGCCCGGAGGTGCCACTGGCATAAGTACTGGAACCCAAAGGCTGAAAAATCTTGAGTTCTGCTGTCCAGAGACAGAGGAGTGTGTATCCCAGCTCCAGTGGATAGAGAGAGAGATTTACCTTTTCTTCTGTTCTTGTTCTCTCTGAGCCCTCAGCAGATTCTATTGTGTCCACCCATATTGAGAGAAAATCTTTCCCACCTAATCTATTCAGGCTCACATGCTAATCTCTTCTGGAAACATCCTTGTAGACACACTCAGAAATAATGCTTTACCCTTAATCTAGCCAGTTTGACATCTAAAGTTAACCATCATACAATGCTATTAATCCACAAATGGAGCAGCATTTTGTACCTGAAATACCTTGCATTTCATATTGAATGATTTGTCTTCAATTAGTCAGATCAGGGCAAAATACAAAATGTACTCTACTGGTAATTTCTTAGGTCATTTGTAATTAATTACAAGGTTGAAAATTATTACCTTAAAGTGATAGAAAAAAACATGGTCAATATAACAAAATCTAATGGTAACAATTATGAATTATTTCAGTAGATAGGGTAGAAACCTATCTATTTCTCTCTTTCTTTTTAAAATATAGAGGATTAATTGTCTCATGTATTTTTACTACAAATTTGAATCTCTTTATTCTCTTCTGAGTAGCAATTTGGCTGGCTGTCCTTCCTTCCTTCCTTCCTTCCTTCCTTCCTTCCTTCCTTCCTTCCTTCTTTCCTTCTCTACTTTCCTCTCTTCCTTCCTTCCTTCCTTCCTTCCTTCCTTCCTTCCTTCCTTCCTTCTTTCTTTCCTTCTCTACTTTCCTCCTTTCTTTTCTTCTTTTCCTTCTTCTTGACTTTCCTATCCTCCTCTCCTTTTTTCATTCTTTATTTTTTAATAATGACCTTATCTTTCCCTATAAGTTTTTACTAAACCTATATATTCATATTTCATTTTAATTCTCCTCTATTTAACAAATTGCTCCTTATTTTTCAGTCTTATGCTATTAAATTGTATTGTGATTCTTAGATACTGTTTTGGAAAATATTAATTGAATCTTTATTGTATCTTTGAAATATGTGTATTCTTTTATATGTGTGGGGTTATTTTCTATTCTTGCTTCTGTCTCTTTAAGTATTTAATGTTTCCTTAACTCATTACCTGTAATCCAGATTATGTATCAAACTGGATCTAGAATCCTGATGGTAAACTATCTGTATTTTTGATTTGCTCTTTCTTAGTGAAAATGGGTACCTCCTCTAACGATTCTATAATCTGGTCTGTGAAGTTGCTCTTTGAATAACTAGACGCATCTATGATTGATTCTTTTTTTTTTTTTTTTTTTTTTTAATTTTTTATTTTGTCAATATACAATGTATATGATTATTA